ATAGTTTTCTTTCACACCAGAATACTGCTGACACAAGTGTTATACTTTTGAATTCTTGGCCTTCATCGGTAAAGAATTTCTTGATACTATTGTCAAACACACTTTTGAATGCCAACTTCGTTTCTTCATCGGCAATGGACACGACGCTGAAGGAGCAAAAGTACTCATAAATAGAATCGGAGGTCGTTGGGACTTCAAAACGAAACAAACTCGCATCACCCTTGAATTTGTGAAATTTTTCAGATTCTTTCACTTTCGACATAAAGTGATTTTTACCGGACTCCGACCCTGAGTAATGTACTTTTAACTGGTGATAAAGATGTTGTAAGAATGCAGCAATATCGGATATCCAAGGGCATGTATAATCGTGAGTACACCAAAATATGCCAAACTTTCCGCCAGGTACAAGAACACGATGAATCTCGTTAAAACTCTCTTTGGAATCTGCAAACCAGTGTAATGCATTTGCAACAACGACAGCATTGACACTTTCATCGGGAAGATCTGAAAGAAAAAAAAAACGGTTGATGGCGAACGATTGATCCCTCGAATACTTTTTTCATAAGGTCAGAGATTAGTATTTGAACCACAGCGACTGCATGGTATTACTATCTGATTCATGAGCATGTGTATAATAGATAAGACCACTCAATTTCTGGAGGACCAGAGATCAAATGCAAAACAATGTTAATGGATTTAGCAACAAATGTTTCATATATCGTATTGCGACATTTGACTGCAATTAACTATTCTAACATAGCAAAAATATCTGGTGTAATTTACACCATGGCCTCATCAAAAGTTGCAGTTGTCGTGAAACTGTGATATACAATGCTCTATTGTAGACTGCCATTACAAGTGTGGGCAAAAACCAAACTTCTAAATTTGTTTCTAGTGTTGTAATTATGTTGATCTTCTTGTTTGATCAAGTCCATTTTGTGATCTACAAGTCCATTTAGACATTTAAATACATAAACGCATCTTCTGAGAAAACGCCTCTTTTCTAAAGGTAACCACTTGAGTTTAGCTAAAGCGTCGGTTGCTGATGAGTATAGTGGTCTATCAAGTATTATTTTCGCAGCCTTGTTCTGGAGAATTTGTAAATTTGACATGATCGTAACATTATGCTTATCGCCCCAAACTAAATCTGCATAATCGAACAGGGGCATGATTAGGCTATTATAATAAAGAAGCCTAGCTCTGAAAGGCAATAAATGCTTAAGTTAGCATAACGTGTTAAGTATAGGATTTTCAAAGCTAAGGTTGTGGGTTCGAATCTACTTGGTGTAATTTGAATTTTTCTTTCTTTCTTTCAAGTTTAAAGTTTCAGACGGAAAATTTCTAAGTTGAACGTAGTAGTTAATTAGGTATTCAAGGGCAATATACATTAGTATTCAAGGGCAATATATGGATATTGCCCTCAAATGGGGGCGATATCTAGATATATCCCTGAAACTTCGATATAAAGCACTTGAATACACAACGAGCTGGGGAATAAGCGAGATACAACACTATGAATAACAAAGAAAACTGAATCAAGTATGAAATAAAATAACGTTTTTATGGTCAAAAATGGCTTATAATTTTTTTTTAGTTAGGAAATTTTTATTTTCTTGGCAAAAATTCTTAGAAAGTATTTCTTGCCTGGAGAGTTCTTTTTCCTAAATTTTCTCACTTGCAACCAGTTGTGACTTACAGCTGGCTGGGACATAAGAACAGATATATTTCTCCAGGAACACGTCGGCTCCTTCTAAACTTACCAATTGCGAATTGCGAATTGTGAATATACATATATTATTGTCTGCCATTATTAGTGTGGCCAAAACCAAACTTACCAATTGCTTGAGCGGGGAATTGTTTGCATTCGATTTCAGGCAGGGAATTTCTAAAATTTTCCACCATGTTCTCGCTAGGATCACTTGCTATGAACTTGGTTTTGGATCCTTTAAGAACATCTGCCATGACCTTGGTAAACATTCCTGTGCCTGCGCCGAGTTCTAGAATCACAGACGGAGACGTTGAGG